GAAAGAATAATATTGCTGCTCCATCCAGTTGGAAAATGGTCCTGAGTAGCACATCAAAAAGGGACTGGGCTTATCCGACAAATACTTGCCACCTTGCATGTGCTAGGTGAGCAGAAGCAAGTACCCTCTCCCTGTGGAACTGCCGGAATTCATTAATTACCCTGGGGGTGGGGGCTGGACCTTCCCTCTGCATTCTCTGCTGTTCCTCTGGAATTCATCTTCCCCTGCGTCCCCACTGCCATTGATTTAGTTTAAGACCTTGTCATTTTCATCATTTCTTTTTTTTTTTTTAACCTAGATCATCCAAAACAGCCACAAGACAGGTCTTCTTTCTTCTAGGCTCACCTTCAGAGCATCCTCTGCCCTCCTACAAAACACAAGTTCGATTATGCCCATCACCTACTTCATTGTCCACATGGTCCCTGTTAGCACTCTTCCCAAAACAAAGGGGGTGTGTTCTGCTGCATGCAACCAAGCCCAATCAGACACGAACAGGCAAAGAAAGTTAAGATGTGTTCTTTAAGGAAATGGTGCCAAACTGGAGTCCCAGGTGAGCCATTGCTCTAAGACCTCGCTCCCCGATGGCTTCTAAGGGATGGGTTATATAGTGAAAACATCATTAATCATGGTGGAGTTAGGGTCATGGTCCCTCCTGATTGGTCAGTGCTAGGGTAGGGGGCAGCTGACCATTGCATCTGGCCCTAAGCCGCAGTACTGCTCTGTCGGGTTTCACGACGGTGTGGTTAGTGGCTTCGTTCTGCTTTTCTGGGTCTGGACCTGAAGCACAGCTGGAGCCTAGGTGTTATCTTCAGTTTGACTAAAACTCTGTCTCTGTGCGCAACAGACCTGAAGCTTTGTTCCTAAGTCTATTTGATGCCGATGAGAACATCATTGTCCCGAAGGCTTTGTGATTCAGGGAGAGGGAGGCGGGTGAGTCAGTGCTGGATGAGGCCAGTTTGAATCAAAAGGACAGGAGGGAGAATAGATCATATTAAAGAAATGAAGTTTCTGGGTGGTTACGACAGCAGGAGGAGGCTCACACTCCACAGTCTGGCCCTCTTGGCTCTTCTCTCTGTGACCATGCTAGGCTGCCCTGAGGGCGCCTGCTCTCCCCAGTCCCATCTCGCCTGTCCCCAGCCTGCAATCCTGGAGGACAGGACACATATTTCTTCGGGCCTCTGAGCCTTGCACCCAACTTTGCTTTAGCTTGGAACCCTCCTCTACCTCCACAAGCTACCTCCTTCTCTGCCTGTGATCCCCTGACCTGCTGGGTGTGCCTGTTCTGGGGCCATTGTCCATCTGGATTAGAGGTCTTTCTTAGAGAACCTCTTACCAGCAAACCAGCAGCTGTCAGACCCCATGAATGTTTATTGAGTTGAATTCTCTCTTCTGTCTTTGACAAACAAGGCAATAAAAAGATGTCTTGTAGGACTCGAGCAAAGTTGGCAAAGACTAGGGTGAGATCAGTGGAAATAATTCAGGAATTAAGTACACATACACACAGCCAAAAAAAAATGATTAAAGCAAACTTACAGTTTTCTATCCTGAGAAAGTTTCAATCTGTGCTTTATGTAGAGGTCACATCCATAGCACTTACCCTGGAATCCCCTCTATGAGTCTTGTTGCCTAAAATTTTACACTTAGAGATTTATTTCTTAGGCTATCGACATGTGTATTCTCTTAAAATATCAATATTCTTTAGAGAAGGTAACATCTCAGCGATAATAAATTTATCTTATCTTTTCCTGACTGTAAGATGAAGGGAAAGCTAGCAAGAGGGTACCAGAGGCCTGAAGGGGAGGAGTAGCAATTGGAGAAAAGGCTGCTTCAAGATGAAAAGAAAACAGCTTCACACTTTTTCCTTGAGTTGCCCCCTGACTGAGATATAGTTTGTTTATTTATTTATTTATTTATTTATTTATTTATATTTTATCCTCACCCGAGGATATTTTTCTGTTTATCTTCAGATAGAGTGGGAGGGAGGGGGAGAGAGAGAGAAACATTGATGTGAGAGGGACACATCGACTAATTGCCTCCCGCACAACCCCGACCAGGGCCAGGAACCACAACCAAGGTATGTGCCCTTGATCGGAATTGAACCCGTGACTCTTTGGTCCACGGGCCAATGCTCTAAGCACTGAACCAAATGGGCCAGGGCCTGAAATATACTTTATATTTCTCTTCAAACAGATTAGGCATTATTATCTGCAAAATGATAACTCATTTTTAGTGATGATAGAGAAAAAGGAAAAGGATTGTATTTTTAGAGGGAGTTGGTAATGGAACTGTTATAATTTACTGTCCAAGGAAACACTTCATTGCAATTATAAAAGGTATGTGAAAGTAAGCCTGTTTCTGTTGAAATATGTGTAGAGTGTATATGATTGGAGACAGAAGATTTGATAGATGATTCCTAGAATTCTCTGTGATTGTCTGGAAATGAAATGATGGGTAAATCATGTGCAACGAGCTTATCTTTGCCATGGATCTCCTTGCTGTATCCAGGGCCTAGTTACATATATGAAAATTACCTCGATACAGTTGATTATGACTGATGGTTCTGCTAATCAGCTGAACAAACCTGTTGGGGAAGAGGAATCAGATATGAAATGAAAGATCACTTATTCACATTTGTCAACCTGCCTGCAAGTCATTTTCTTTAACGTGCTCTGATTGAGAATGTGCTAAGTCATATATAAATCACGATCATCGATAATGCCAAAAAGAAGCATATACTTTTTGACCTAAAGTGTACTCCATTCCATCCTAACCACATTGATTAAGTGTAATGTGAAGGAGAGATTGGCAAGCAGCATATAAACTAAATCACTAAAAATAGCTAAATCTCCCCTTTCCCCAAGCTCCTACCCCACAAAAAAATAAAATTAAAAAATGCCCCACAGCAGGACTCATTTTCTGGATGGTTTTCAGATGGACAGAGTAATCATTCAGCTTCCACTTCTCCCAAATCCCGACTGGTATTTGCCTGGGTGGCCCCGGACGGCAATGGCCAGGGGGTGGGGACCTCCGGGAAGCAGGTGTCCCTGTTTCCAACGCTGATGAGCAGGCGTCCTGGTTCCCGGTCAGAACACAGGAACTGCAGTTGAACAGAGTGAAGCCTGTAGCAGATTACCTTTGCTGCTACTTCCTTCAAACTCACAAAACTAACTTGAGGTTTGCAAGCTCCTCAGAAGCGATTTGCTCCTGTGTACGTTTGATGCTTCTTCCTTGTGTGGATGTGAAGCTGTGGGTCACAACACCATTTGGGGAGTGTAGAGCTGCAATTCCATCTCAGCTTTTCAAAACAGGTTTGATTTTTTTTAAAAAAAGATCATATATTTTTTAAATTAAAAAAAAAAAATTGCCCTGGCCGGTTTGACTCAGCAGCTACAGCATCATCCCTTGGACCAAAGAGTCATGGGTTCAATTCCCTGTCAAGGGCACGTACCTCGGTTGCAGGTTCAATCCCTGGCCCTGGTTGGAGTCATGTGAGAGGCAACTAATCAGTGTTTCTCTCTCTCTCTTTCTCTCTCTCTCCCTCCCTCCTTCTCTCCTGTTCTATCTGAAAAATCAATAAAAACATATCTTCAGGTGAGGATAAAAAAAATAAAAATCACAGGAGGCCAAAATTCCATATCTTACTCCATGAGGAACTCTTACACCCTAATCAACATATAAGAGGCCGAATCTTTCTTCAGCCAGCAGGCTGAGCTAAAATAATAGTCTATTGTTGGTTCAAGCCAGACACAGTGAGGTCTGTGTGCTCTCATGCCTACTTTACCATGTGGGAGGCTTTCCGAAGGACAAAACCCAGAACTATCAGAAGTGGAAGATGTAGTTCAGCAGAGAAGGCTGTATACCAATTAGCGACGTTCCCATTCTGGTTTGGCGCTGCGTCTGTTTTAAGGTCCGGGTCACGGTAACTTTCCTCCTAATCAATTTAGAAGCAAAACCTGCAATACCAACATTGCCTTCTCAGCTTCCTCGGTGCTGGGTGGTGGAATTGTTCTGGAATCCTTGAGTGTGTGCGTGCCTGTTCTCACTGTGCTTGCACTTGGTCGAAGGCCAGTAGTCGCCGGTTCTCTGCTAATTATAACTCATTCTCATGGCCTGTCCACGCAGAGCCTTTCTTTGAGTTGTGAAGGATTCAGACTTACAAGAAAAAAGCCCCTGTTGTATTTCAAATACAAACTTACAAAAGACACGTCCATCGACCTCCATGAAAACCCAGTTTTATTTTTTTTTTAATTTTTGCAACTTGGGGTTGTCTGTACGTTTCCTCTAGGCATTTTGTCCATTCATTACTGACTCTAAAGTTTTTCTGTTTCCAGAGTGAGAGTTAAACACCCAGGTTGTTTCATAATAAGCGGTCATTTAGACAGCAGCTGTGAATAACATCAGTTGTGATAGTCTGCCTACTGCTGCCCAGAGTCGGAATGTGTTTTCAAAGAGGAATTTGGTGCCACAGATTTCTGTGCTGCACAAGCAGCCTGAAAATGGTTTAAGATTGTGTTCGGTGGTTTGCTCCAGGGGGAGGGTTTTCTTTATGTAAAACAATGTAACCAGCTTTGATTTCCCCTTATCTTTTTACACTGTGTCCATTTCTCCATAAAGATAAAGAATGGAGAGAGGAGGAAGAAGTCACTAAGAGCTAAATGATACAATGGTTTTGATGAATGTTGCCTTTAATAGAGCCTTTGGGCTTCCCCTTTGTTCTCTCCTCCTAAAGAAGAAAATCAGTATAACCGAGGTGTGCTAGCCCTTCTCTTTCATGCCTCTATAGAAAATAGTCCTGGGATTATTTTAACGCGAGGATGATACATGATCACACCGCATATGATGGCCTATTGATGTGTATGTGTAGATTTTAATCCTACACCTCGTTGTTGTCTGGGATAACTCCACTTTGATGCCCAGACCTCAGTCCTTGTCTCTGACTTAGCATCCCAGGGGTGCCTGCCCGCCCCGCCTCTCACCAGTCTTGGTGTGCGTTGTTGCAGGTGTCCACTGTGACAGTGTGTGTGCGGAGGGACGCTGGGGTCCCAACTGCTCCCTGCCCTGCTACTGTAAAAACGGGGCGTCGTGCTCCCCTGACGACGGCATCTGTGAGTGCGCCCCGGGGTTCCGCGGCACCACGTGTCAGAGAAGTAAGTCTCTCCTTCCCAGGGCACCGTGTGCAGAAGTGTTATCTCTGCCCTCCTCTCAGCTCGGACTGATGTCTCTTGCAGTCGAGGTCAAACGAAAGGGAAATAGGTCTCCCTGTCCTTCGCAGGGCTGTCCTTGATGGAGTATCCCCGAGTTTCATTTCTTCCAGCCTTCAGGACTAACCCAACAGATGGGGCTTTCACCATTTTTCCCGGTGATGATTGCATCGCCCCATTGGCATCATCATCAGGCTATGTTTTTTGATCCTGCCTCCAATCTTGCAAATGGTGTTCCAGAAATTCATTGACCTGTAAATATTTTATTCAGCAATTTTGGCATTGGCCTTATTTCAATTACTAGAAATCCACATCAGCCAAACCTGGAGGCAAATCATGCATCCTGCTAGTAGCCTTAAAGTCAGCACTCCGGGGAAATAGAACCGCCAAGTCAAAAATGGGGGCTGTTGACATTGGTCAATTGACATTCTAAGGTAGGAAGTGATTCATAAGATTTTACTAAATCTTTTTGTAAATGTTCTCAAGAAAGGAAAATACAACTAACTATAAGATAAGTTATTCTAATTTTTTAATTACTATTTTATTAAGAGCTCTATGCAGTTTTCCTATATTTAAATCCAAATACCGTCTTGAGAAGAACCTAATGATGTAGCATTTTGCTCATTCACTTTTCATCCACAGTCATTAACCTGGGCCATGTCGAGGAGAAACCATCTTTTAATTCTATGTATTGCCAGTAATGAGTCTTAGAGAATGAAGGATCAACACATGGCTTGAGAGTATTTATTTGGGCCTTGTTGGAAATTAGAATTTTATTTCCTTCCTTTATTAATTTCTTAAAGCCTCTAGCTCTATGCCAAACCTCAAGCTAATTGGGGCCGCGAATGGGAAATAAAGAGGGCGAAGTCATTCGCCTGCCCTCAGGCAATTCAGAATTTAATGGCTTTTTTTTTTTTTTTTTTTTCATGATTAAAGAATACCCTTGTTTCTTTGGTGGTGGTGATTTTACACTTGGAAAAGTCTCCGTATTATTAAAACAACTTATTTTACTCAGAATTTGAATTGGATTTCGATGTGAGATATGAAAGACACGTGTCTCCAGAAAGGTAACTCTCGCTTTCCATTCTCCCTTCAGTCTGCTCCCCTGGTTTCTATGGGCACCGCTGCAGCCAGACCTGCCCCCAGTGCGTGCACAGCAGCGGGCCCTGCCACCACATCTCCGGCCTGTGCGACTGCCTGCCTGGCTTCACGGGAGCCCTCTGCAACGAAGGTGAGGCTGGGTCTGGAGAGCTGCCTGGCGGTGAAGCCCCCCGCTGCCTGTCCTCGGCTTCCCCAAGGCCGCGGCTGCAGCTACCGGCATGGGTGCCTCTGGCGGCCTGTGTTTGCAGCTTCTTTCAAAATGACTCAGCTTTGGAATTGCTGCTTGCCACTCCAGAAAAATCCCTTTATTCTCTGAAAGGTGCTGCTCTTCCGTTTTCATTGGAAACAGCCTCCCATGAAAAATCAATAGGAGGAAGGATTTGGGCTTCCCGAGCAAAACGTTGTGAAGTCAGATTTCTAGAAATGTGATGATGTCTCCTCCTGGCTTGTAACGCCTTAATGGGGGTGTTTGGCTTCGTGTGTTTGTAAAAAATGAGCCCATTCAGGATGAGGGATGCTGTTAAGTGGAGGCAGCTACTAAACGGGCAGCTGGGTGGGTGACCTTTAAAGTTGTTTCCTGTCCCACAAGTCTAGGGTTCTGTGAGATGAGACGGAATGATGAGTGACTGGCCTATAACTTGTTCACAGTGTGTCCCAGTGGCAGATTTGGGAAAAACTGTGCAGGAATTTGTACCTGTACCAACAACGGCACCTGCAACCCCATTGACAGATCCTGTCAGTGTTACCCGGGATGGATCGGCAGCGACTGCTCTCAGCGTAAGTCATGTCTGAGAATAACTGATCAACCATTTCTGTCTGTCTGTTTTCAAATTCTTTAGGTTGGAGTATGAATGGTTATATAATCAAGCAAAATATATGAATAATTATAAGATACATTATTTTAATTTTTAAATGGCTTCGTTTCCCTACTCTGAGCTCTGTGCCATGGCCTTTTTTTTTTTTTTTTTTTTTTTTTTATCCTCATCCGAGGACATTTTTCCATTTTTTGTACAGACAGAGTGGGAGGGAGAGAGAGGAAGAGAGAGAGAGGGAAACATCGATGTGAAAGGGACACATCGAGTGGCTGCCACCAGCACGACCAACCAGGGCCAGGGACAAACTGCAACCGAGGTACATGCCCTTAGCGGGAACCGAACCCGGGTCTCTCCGGACCGCAGGTGGACGCTCTAACCACTGAGCCAAACCGACCAGGGCTGTGCCATGGTCTTATATTTAAATCTAAATAATGCCTTGAAAAGAACCTAAATAAGTTGCATTTTTGCTTATTTTGTTTTCAGTGATTCTTAATCTGTAAAATGAGGGTGCTGTACTCAGAAAATCTATTCTAAGATACATTCTAGACCTCAAGTGCCAGATATTATTTTCCCTTGCTCTAGGGAGAAAAGTGGTCACGCAATTATTGGGAACTGTTTTCATTTTAAAAAATGACTTCAGATTTATTTATTGTCTTTATTGGGTCATATTACCTACTAGGTAACCATATAGAAATTATAGGTGGTCCTTCTTTTAAGCCAGCAGTTCTCAACCTGTGGGTCATGACCCCTTTGGGGGTCAAATGACCCTTTCACAGGGGTCACCTAAGACCATTGGAAAACACGTATTTCCGATGGTCTTGGGAACTGAGACACTGCTCCTCTATCTGTCTTCAGGCGGGTCCGCCCACATGCAGATACGCCCACATACAACATGAGGTTCTGTATTAAAGGGTCGCGGCATTAGAAAGGTTGAGAACCACTTTTAAGCAGTTATATTCTTTAAGCATTAGTATGAATAAAAAGGTTTAGTTTGAGGTTTTTTTGTTTGTTTGTTTGGTAAGTCAAATCATTTTATCCCATAACCTTACATTACTATTTCACAGATACTTAAAAAAAAAAAATTATTTTCTTTACTGATTTTAGAGAGAAAGGAAGGGAGAGAGGGAGAGAGATAGAAACATTGATGAGAGAGAACATGGATTGGCTGCCTTCCTACACACCCCCCAATGGGGATTTGGCCCACAACCTGGGCATGTGCCCTGACTGGGAATTGAACCAGCGACCTCTTGGTAGGTGGGTTGAGGCTCAACCACTGAGCCACACTAGCTGGGCTATTTCACAGATGCTTTATCTGAGGTTCTGATGGCCCTTCAATGGGCAGTAACCCTTAAGATTTAGTTCAGTTTTTTCAAATCTAAGAGTTTAAAAATCTTAGACCGAATCTAAAATAACTGAAGATTTAGTTTTATTTTCTTCTTTTTCTAAATAAGAGATTTTATAAGAAAACCAATTCTTGTGGACAACTGGGAGCCTTAACATTTAAAACAAGCCTCTAGTGACAAATCAGCTGACAAGTGTCAGTTTTCAAGATCAAAGGCATGAATTTGATGACCTTGGATCCCTTCACCTCTCTTAAGTCACATAGTGTTTTCCCCAATCTCTGCTCAAACAGCCTCTCCTCAGAGAGGCCTTCCTTAAAGCAGCAGCTTCATCCTTCTTGTCCCCCTCAACCTGCTTTATTTTTTTCGTAGTACTTTTGTCATTGGATTTGGGGTTGGCTGGTTCGTTTGCCTGCGTTCCCTACTCAAATAGAAGCTTCCGGAGCGTGGCCTGGACTTTTTTGTCTGCTAAACCCTTTGTTTCCCGAGCAGAGCTGGGCACAGAGGCGCTGAGTGTGCATTTGTTAGATAGCTAAGTCTGTGACCTTGAGATGGTTTCGCCTCACCCTGCAGTCTGGGACGGGCGCCTGTCGGGGTGATGGCCGCGCTCAGCGCTGCCGTCGGGTCTCGGATGCCGAGCGCTGCTCACCTCGCTCCGCAGCGCCGCGTGGCGGGTGGGCGGAATCCTCCCCGCAGTAATCATCCCTGCAGTGCTGGTCTCTGACCGAGCTCTCTCCTTGTGTCTTGTGCTTTCAGCCTGTCCACCGGCCCACTGGGGCCCGAACTGCATCCACACCTGCAACTGCCACAACGGGGCCTTCTGCAGCGCCTACGACGGCGAATGCAAGTGCACGCCCGGCTGGACGGGGCTCTACTGCACGCAGAGTAAGCGGCCTCCCACCGCGCCGGGCACAGCCCGCGGACCAGCCCTCGGGGCACGCAGCTCAGCCCGCCCAGCTGTCCTGGCACTCCAGGGTTTCGTCTCCCCAGCCATCTCTAGACATCCAAACCCCTGAATGGCTAAGAGCTGCCCGGTTCCAAGTTTTCTGTCTCGGTGTCACGTCAGGGCAGCGAGGTGGAGCGGTGCTGTGTGTCATGCTGGGCAGTTCCTTTCTCCTCGTCTTCACCAGACCCTGTTTACATGGATCAAACTCCCTGTCGTGTATGCTGACAGCTGAGCTCAGGTTGAGGGACAGTGACTGGGAAGGCACTGGGGACGGCCAGCCCCTCTGCCTGGCTCGCTGCCTGCTCTTAGAGAAGGTTGAGTTTCTGGTTCCCGAACTTGAGGGAGCTGGCCCCGCCCCCACAGGGGCTGATTCAGTGGGTCTGGGCTGGGACCTGAGAACTCAAATTTCTAACAACTTCCCAGGTGGTGATGCCAGCCTGGGATCATGCTTTAAGAATCACTAGTTCACCCTGGCCGGTTTGGCTCAGTGGTTAGAGCGTTGGCCCGAGGACCAAAGAATCTCCGGTTCAATTCCAGTCTAGGGCACGTACCTTGGTTGTGGTTCCGTTCCTGCCCCTAGTTGGGTTTGTGTGGGAGGCAACTAGTTGATATGTCTTTCTCACATCGATGTTTCTCTCTGTCCCTCTCACTCTATCTGAAGATAAATGGGAGAATATCCTTGGGTGAGGATTTAAAAAAAAAAAAATAGAATCACTAGTTCTTTTTTTCCATTTTATATTTCATAGTGTCCTAACCATGTTTTCTTCTGTGAGGTATCTATGAGGTTATAATATGCAAAGTATTCCACAGCTCAGCACAGTTGGGGAAAAGCCTATTCTCTACCCTCTGGCCTTTAATTGAATAAAGGATAACAGACAGGAAAGTGTATATGATGATGCTCTTTTATACATTCTATAATTTTAAATCACAGAGATGAATGGAGGAGGAAAGACGAATCAGAAATTAGGCAATTCTTGTTTAATACTAATTAGAGAACATAAATAATAGGCTGAACAAGCCTTTTGGAACTTTCTAGAAAAGGGTCCAGACCCTGAGCCATGATTTGAAAGAAAGAATTGGCAAGGAGAAAGGTTGTCCCAAGCACATTCTGCCAAGATTGTATATAGACGTATAAAGGATTTTGACCTCCTTAGGGAAATGTACTCATAAGTTATGATATATAATTCCAAAATTTTGAGCGTCTTCAGTCAGAGGAGCTTTTTAAGTGAAAGCATCACAATTCCGTGGGGTCTGGAGCCAGACCTGCTTGCGTTTTGCACTGTCGCCCCGCCACCTTGCCATTTGTAAAAAGTACATGTGATGCTTGGAAACAGCCAGGGACCAGCTGGCACTGAAGCTTTCTTTATGCCAGACAGCCCCGCCACGCACTTGCAGGACAGCTGCTGGCCCAGGAAAGCCCACGGGGCTCGTGCTGGTCCTCGGCCCAAGGGTCCCGGTGCTCCGGGCCTTGAAAACTGGGCTGCAGTGGAAGGCATGCTGCTTTGTTAGAAAGCACCTGTGAAGTGCAGGGTCGCCTAAGTCCGGCATCCTACCACACGTTTGGTGAAGATCACACTATCTGAGTCAGTGACAGATACAGTGGATGGGACTAGCATTGGAATTGGAGACATTCTGTACCAAAAGTGAAAGCTTATTGGTTATTTTCATAGAAAATACTCATTTCAGTCCACGGAATTGGAGTCCGGGATTCTAGCAGTTAGTGAAAGAGTGAAAGGAAATGCCCCAGACTTCTGCAGGGCTGAGGTGCCTCCCGGGTCCCAGTAATGTTTCAGCTGCCAGGTATGAACCCTTCTGCCTCCTGCTCATGAATTCCAACCTCCTTCCAAGAACCCCATCTTGGGCCTTCAAAGAGGGCTTTGTGACAAGCTGACACATATATCATCGTCTTTATTCACTCTCTACTGCCTCAAGGTTTTTTAAAATGCTGGAGGCAAGAGTTGTGCTTCTCCTCAGCAGTCTCTTGACTCCCGCTGCCCTTCCTCCTCCTCGCACAGGATGTCCCCTGGGCTTCTACGGGAAAGACTGTGCGTTGATATGCCAGTGTCAGAACGGAGCTGATTGCGACCACATCTCAGGGCAGTGCACTTGCCGCACGGGGTTCATGGGGAAGCACTGCGAACAGAGTGAGTACGAGAGTGTGACATCTTGAGATGCTCTTTTTTCCCTCTAGAATCACTTTTCCTAGATGCCCAAAGCTCTTAAGGCAGAACTCAAAACTTTCAAGCTGTTTGAGCTGATGGCTAGTTTCCAGCACGGTTGACTTCCCCTTCAAAGACCTGGCCACCTTGGGATCTTTGCTGTCTTTTCCCTCAAAATTCTTCTTCTGAGTAATTGCTCAGTGCTCTGGGTGGAGGGGGTGTGGCTACGAGGCTGAAGACAGAATTCAAGTTTTCCATCTGTTCATCCTGGCTCCCTCTTCCTCTCCTTATTTTTGGACCGTGGATGCTCAGAGCTTGAAAAGAGCCAGTCAAGCTTTCTGTATGGTGAAGGCAGAGTCCAGGTGTCTCACTGAAGGCTGGGTGTGCAGGGGGCAGAGGGGCTGGGTGCCAGGGCCAGCCCACGATGGGTGAGTGAACAGGTCCGTGCAGATGTGGCCACCCTTTGGACAGCCTCATCTGGAAAGTACTTTTATACTGTTTTTACTAACAACTTCTCATCTTAGTCTTAACAACCTTCAAGACAATATAATGCCTTAAAATTTTGTTCTAAAAATCCCACCCTGGGAGAATATGCTCTGTTGGAATTGCCCATCCTTAGTTTTCCATTTCCACCCCACCAGGTATGCACCTGCTCACAGGGTGAGGGGAACATTTAGCCTCAGACGGAGTATTTCAAATTCGTTTATTGTTGTTTATCTCTGTGGCCTTCACTATTCAAGAGGAATAACTAAGGGCTTGGAGCTGGGTTGCCCCCTTTCTGACCATAATGGCAGGAAAAGGGGCAGGAGACTTCCTGCTCACCAGGGGGCGCACTTGCAGGGAGGGTGATGTGAAGAGTGCAAGGCTACAGGAGCCAAGTGGCCTGGAAAGATTTATCAGCCCAGCAGGACTTTGTCAGGAAGACATCCCTCCCCCACCACCCCACCAGCACCTCACAGCACCACTGGACAGCCTAATAACGTGCTAAACTCTGAAACATTTGTGCATATTCTCCTGGCTAGCAAATATGACATCCAAGAAGCAGCTTGGACAGAGAAGGCCCAATTTTAGTTTTGCTCTGCTAGTTCATTTAATCATGAAACAGATACTGAGTCAGAGTTACCTGCACACCCCTTTATATCTGTGAATATTGTGTGTATGTGCACAAATGTCTAAACATACGTGTGCATACATACAGAGGTGGGCAAAAGAAGCTTATACGCATGAGTACATGAAACAGTTAATTCTTGTATTATTATCTAATTATTGTATTATTTTCCATACAAACAACTGTAAGCCTATTTTTGCCTACCCTGTATGTATATAGAAACCAGAATAAGCTCTAAATTGACTTTCCTTTGAATGGCGGACTGTAGCCCGTCTTCTTAAGTAAAAGCCTCTTAAGTGCTTCCGTGGTCATTCTGAACAACAAATTAAACACTCCCAGTGCTAGTCTGTAAACAGAAACCCTGTGTTGGGCAGAGAACTCTTATAATAATAGCACATCGCCCCCTGCTGCTCACTCTACAAAAAACATCACTATTTTGTCATGATTTTTAGATTTAACATGCCTGTGCTATTCTTTGAAATTCATGCCCAGTCTTAGTAAGACTACATCGTAGCCCTGGCCAGTTTGGCTCAGCGGTTAGAGCATCGGCCTGCAGTCCAGAAAGACCCAGGTTCGGTTCCCACTAAGGGCGTGTGCCTCTGTTGCGGTTTGTCCCCGGCCCTGGTTGGCCATGCGGGTGGCAGCCACTCGATGTGTTTCTTTCACATCGATGTTTCTCTCTCTCTCTCTCTCTCTCTCTCTCTCTCTCTCTCTCTCTCTCTCCCTTCCTCCCTCCCACTCTATCTGAACAAAAAATGGAAAAAAAAATATCCTCAGGTAAGGATTAAAAAAAAAAAAAAGACTACATCGTAAAAGTTCCATTGTTTTAGTCTCTGAGCCTTCCGCCTGCAAATCCAAATTTTGAGCCATTCTATGGTAAGTAAAGTTCTTACCTAGAAAATTAACAAAACTTGCCCTGTCCCTCTTCCCCTTCTGCCAGCTAATCCAAGTCAGAATGTACCATTGGGAGGATCCCTGAGCCTATAAGATACTGGTTCTCAGGGAAGCATCTCTATACTTTATACTTTAGAGTTTGGTCCCCTTCTGTCCCATGGTTTTGTCTGGTGGAGTCATCTCAGATTGCCCTCAGTGATGATCTTTGTCAATTCCATTGGAATTCCACAGACTCTGCATACCCTTCTGGGAGGTGGGCACATAGAAGCTGAAAGTGTCAGGATCTGTAATGAGGGGCTCAGTCCCCAGCCCTGTGTCCCCTGGCCTGTGTGTTGCACCATGACTCAGGGAATGCTGGCTAGCTCTAGGACACCTTGGGTGGTACAAGTCTACCTGAACAGGGATCCTCTGACAGGGCCGGCCTCCAGACACTCAGGGTCATACAGTGAGAGACAGGCTCGCCCCGCATTCCCAAGGCTGAACTGGACTTGCATTTCCTTCTCAGAGTGCCCTCCAGGAACATATGGCTACGGCTGTCGCCAGATATGTGACTGTCTGAACAACTCCACCTGCGACCACATCACGGGGACCTGTTACTGCAGCCCCGGATGGAAGGGGGCACGGTGTGATCAAGGTAAGGACACTAGTAAGTAATAACTACTGCCCCGTATTGTATGATCACTACCTACCGCCTAACATTGAGTGTTTTCACCTGTGTTATCTGAGCTGCTCCTCACCGTGACTCCGCAGGCATCGCTGGTAATTTAGTTGCTAGGTGGATGCGTTATTGTTGCTGTCCCACAGATGAAAAACTAGAGCTCATAGAGGTTGAGTAATTTGCTCAAGGTCATACAGCTACTATAGAATATGTTAGGGCTTTGATGTCAGGTTTTCCAAAGCTCATGAACTTTCCACTGTGCCTACAATTGTTTTCAACCTTACCGAAGTATGATTAACCTATAGAAAGCAATACATATATGCAATATATGTGCAGTAACACATAGCGTACAACTTGATAAAATTGACACGTACACATCCATGAAATCATCACCACACTAAAGATGATGAATATATCTATCACTTTCCTCATGTCCCTGCCTGCCACCACGACCCCCTAGGTGCCATGCAATCACCAGTCTACTTTCTGTCTCTACAGATTAGTGCAATTTTTAGAATTTCATATAAATGGAATCATACTGTATACTTTTTGTCCGATTTTGTTTTCTCGGCATAATTATTTGAAAAATAAACCATGTTGTGGTGTATGTCCGTGGTTCAATTCCTTTATTGCTGAGCCATATTCCATCGCATGGGATATACCGTAATTTCTCTGCCCATTCACCTGTTGATGGACATATGACTTATTTCCAATGTGGGGGCTATTACACAATAGTGTACCAAGTTTTTATATGGACATATGCTTTCATTTCTCTTGAGTCAATTAGTAGGAGAATGTCTGGGTCATGTGGTGGGCATATGTTTAGCTAGTTAAGAAACTTGTGTCTGTGGTTTTCAACTAGGGTGTGTATCGTAATCACCTGGGGATGCTTCTCCTAGGCATAGTCCCGCATGGCCAGTCTGATTCAGGGATGAACGGGGCCTTTGAGAATGTGCTCCTTTATCTGACGCATGGCCTCCGGAGAGTTCCCACTGCACGCGGGGCCCTTCTGTTGGTAACAAGCATAGTCAGCTCACGGGGTGTGAGGCTCTAGAGTTCATGCAGCGCTGCAGGTGAGGTCATCGTGCACGGTGGTCTATGTAGGAACTCTTCCCTCTCTTCCATACAAGAACATCTGCATGCCCGTGATCTGCGTGTGGCTGTCCTAACAGTCAGATGCCACGTTCCACAGTCACATCATTAGGACAGGTGCATGTTGGTCACCCTGCGTGGCCTTGGCACTCCGTGTGTCAGGGCGCATGGCCTCATCAGAAGGGCTGGCATTTTGAATCATAGAGTCACGGGGACATTGCAACTGGAAGCACCTTTGTGGAGCCAGTTTCCTCGTTTTCAGGTGATGAAGCTGCAGCCGAACAGCTGAGGGGAGAGGTCAGCATGTCACGGTCAGTGTTTTAGATGCCAGGTCTCTCGACTCTTAACCTACACCGTTCGTGTCTTCACTCGGTGAAACAAGAGGAAGGACTGTGGAAAGTGGAATGTTGAATGTTGATGCATAAGGTTGTAGGGTGATGTTATCGAGTATTATCAGGACAGAACTTTGTCATAGAAAATGACTGCGTCGAACAGCATCTTCCAAGGTAAAAGCCCGTTGAAATCAGGATACAGCAGAGCCCAATCTGGGACTCAAATTAACATGGAGTTCTTCTTGCTTGGAAGGAAAATTACTGTTAAAAATGCGAAAGATAGACCTAAAATTAAATTAGGCAGTTGAGACATTTAGGAGCTAGCCCTTCATAACCTTAATAGCGTATAATAAATAAAGCTCAATATAAAATAGATGAAGTATCACTCTCAATTATCCGTCAAAGTGTTTAATCTGAAATATATGAGAAGCTCCCAAATCCTATCCTTGAACCTTGGGGTTTGGGACCTCCTGCCTCTTTTCTGAGGCTTAGAGCTGCCTCTCTCTGGGCACAGACAGGTCAACAACATCCAAAAACAAGGAGCGTTTGTTTTTCCTTCCTGCTTTGTCTCCAGATTGGTATCTCATGAGCTGGAAATATCTGGGTGTCATCCTCACTCCAGTCTCCTTTTCTCCTTTTTCCAGCTGGTGTGATAATAGTGGGGACCCTGAACAGCCTGAGCAGAACCAGTACGGCCCTTCCGGCCGACTCCTACCAGATTGGGGCCATCGCGGGCATCGTCGTCCTCGTCCTGGTGGTCCTCTTCCTCCTGGCACTGTTCGTTATTTACAGACACAAGCAGAAGGGGAAGGACTCGAGCATGCCGGCGGTCACCTACACCCCTGCTATGAGGGTCATGAACGCAGACTACACCCTCTCAGGTGAGACCGGGGTCCTCAGAGGCATTGCACTCCGAAAAGTTAGGTTCTCTTACCTGGTCCTTTGCAACCGTGCTGTCTATTGTTCCTGTCCATTAGCCTTGAGAACATTTTGTTCGGAAAAGGCACATTGTTAGAGACGTGTTTTGTATGTCGACAGTGGTAATGTCATTGCTGTTGTCTTCTGTGAGGGTTTTTTAATTAGATGCATTATGTGATTGCTTTAGAGTCTGGGAATTTCAGCCTAGATAGAGCTTTCCTGAGTGCCTAGAAGTTTCTGTCATAGGTGGGGACAGGGAGGGGAGAGGAGAGGGCTGTAACTCTACCGAGACCACGGAGCAGACCAGGGACGAGGACCAGGTCTGTCCCTGGCCTTGGGTTCTTTCCGCAGCTCCTCCCAGCCTGTCCAAGTTACAGAAGAAACTGTTTTCTGGCATTAGCCAGAACTAGGGCATTTCTTTAAGAAAACTCTTAAATCTTTTTTTCTGTCACAAACCTCCATAAAAGTACATTTTTAAGTGCCACACTCAGTCATTAGAATAAGTCCGCACTTAAACAGAGGAATTCGGAAACTTAAAATGTTTATTAATTTGGGGGACAATGACTGGAGGATTTCAGAGTGTCACATGTTTATAAATACACTGACTGCGGGGGAATACATAAAGTAACTGCACAGAATACTGTAGTATAGAATACTGTGTCAAGCACTCAAGTATTTAAAAGGAGGAAAAGTACCGCAGAAATAGCTTCAAAGCGGTGCCGTCGGGGCGTCCAAGCCCCAGGGCGCAGAGCGGCTGGTGATCGGATGTGTTGGCACTTACCCTGGCAGCATGGAGACCTGCGCTCCAGCTGCTCCTGGGAGCTCTGCCGACTATACTGGGCAGGAGGGTCTTCTGCCCAGCTTGGGTTGTGGAAGCAGTCCGGACGTGTGCTCCCATTGCTTTGCTCCCCTTCTTTCCACCCAGGTGTAGGGGAGCCTGCCATGGTGACCATTTCCTTCTCTTCTTGCAGAAACCCTCCCTCACAGCAACGGCGGAAACGCTAACAGCCATTACTTCAGCAACCCCAGTTACCACACGCTGACCCAGTGTGCCGCCTCCCCTCACGTCAACAACAGGGACAGGATGACCCTCGCGAAGGTGAGAGGGTGTGGCTCAAGGTCCTTGCAGGCAGGCAGGGGACAGAGAAAGGGACAAGCAGGTATCGAGGGCTGCTGTTGGCCAGAGGCTGTGCTAGGTATTTTACATCTATTGTCTCATTTGTTCCTCTAAACTTCCCTGTAAGTGTGTATGAGGATCTCCAGTGTAATGACAAAAACCCTAAGTAATGGGGAATTGGAGTCACTTCCAGACGTAGCTCCCCAGCTAGTGGGTGAGGCAGCTGTGATGTGAGTCAAGGTCTTTCTGTCTCTACAACTTGTACTATTTCCATGGCACGTCTTTGGAAAAATGTGTCTAATATTGCATGAGGTTTTAAAATAATGTCCCCTAGCAGAACTGTAGCAGATGCAGCCCTGGGTACAATTGCCATTGGTCTTTTCTGACCACCTGTATCTAGTGTCCTTCCCTGGCCGCTTATACTTTCATAACAACAACAATATATGTGTTTATTTAGGTCAAACCACATGCAAATGCATTTTTGTAGGTCAAAAATGATCACACAGGAACAATGTGCCGAGCATTTCTAATTGTTTTACAAGTAGAAACTCATTGAATCTTCACAGCAATCCTCTGACTCGAGAGTGGTTGTTAGCCTCACTTTGTAGATGCACAGAGGGGTTGGAGGCCCAGGGCTGACTCGACCCCCGAGCTGCCCCGTGGTACTACCCAGCTCACGCCGGGCGCCTTCCACAGTGCTCTGAAACCCCAAACACGTCTCCCTTCCAGTTCCACCGCAGCATATTTCTAGTCTCCATGGTCTAATTCCAGCTCTCTCTCAGAAGAAAACCAAGCTAATAAAATTAATTCAGTTGCAATTAAGTTAATGCAGCTGGATTTTAATTATAGTGCCTCATAGTTAAATAGCACTTCACGTTCTCCAGAGACTTTCATATTCATCATTCCATTTGTTCTCATTCACATTCAGGGATGGAGGCACAGGGGACCGTCTAATCCTCGTGGTCGTAGCTCTGAAAACCGCTGGGAGGGACTGGACTCACACACGATCAGACAGTGTTAGATGGGGGAGCTCTGACTAGGAATTTGTTTTTTCAGTTCAAAGTTCCATGTGTGTAAACCCAAGTAAAGTCTAATTGGTACAGAGTAACAACATGAAATGAAGAAGCTGAGGCAGTGGAGGGAACCGTTGGGGCCAAGGGACATATACTCCTACCACCCTCCATGTCCCACCAGTCAGAGCCGGTCACCCGGTCCCCTCCGCCCAGCCTCATTCAAGGACGGTCCTTGATACAGGCGTTGGACCTGCCTCCCCAGATCTGTCCCATTGCGCTGTGCTGCATTGTGTTCTCTGTCTACATCGTTTGCTGCTTATATTTTTAACAGTCCAAAAACAACCAGCTGTTTGTGAATCTGAAGAATGTGAATCCCGGCAAGAGAGGCCCGGTGGTGGAGTGCACGGGCACCCTGCCCGCGGACTGGAAACACGGCCGCTACCTCAACGAGCTCGGTGCGTGCTCCCCGCTCGTCCCTGCGAGCACCTGGTCCTTCAGTCACCTCAGATAGTCAGGGTTTACGTCTGTGCCAAAGCGATCTCCTGGAAACCTGCGTGAAAAGACACAGTAATAGACGTACACTTACCCCCATGTGGGGCTTGTTACCGTCCCCAGTGCATTATTTAGTCAGCTTTGAGTCTCTGCTTTGTGCAGGGAATGATCCAAGGATCGCCGCTGCTCGCGGCTTTCGTCCTGCTCTCTCTGAATTAACTTGCTCAGTTCTCCTAGGTCCCCTGCTAGGCAGGTACTATTGTATGATCATCGTCTCCATGTTACAGTGGAGAAACAGTCTTTTGAAGGTTACGTGATTGTGCTAAGTCTCAAACCCTCCTAAGTGGTAGAACCGGGAGTGAAGCCTAATCAGCTGGGTACCAGGTTATGGGCTCCTCTTGTAATGTGGGGTGTCCATACTTGAGGCCCCTTCCCTGCTAGGTGAGGATATGGAGATATCAACAGGGATAGCATCGTCAGTGGTTCTCAAGCGTTTTAGAATCAGGACCTTTGCACACACTCTTAAAAGTTGTCAATGACCTCAAAGAACTTCTATTGATTTGGGTTATAGCTACTGATATTTATCATATTACAAAATAAAACTGAAAACATTTACTGAGTTATCATCATAATCTTATTTCATAACATAAGATGCATTTTGCGGAAAATTACTATGTTTTCCCAAAACTAGTGAGAAGAGGAGCACTCTAACAATTTTGTAAATCTCTTAAACATCTGGCTTAATAAAGGACACTAGCTGTTCATTCTGCTTCTGCATTCAAACAGCAGTGACCTCACACTTGGTGGAGCTCCTGGAAAACTCCGCCTTGCACTTGGGAGAGAGTGAGCGTGAAAAAGGCAAACAAGTGCAGTTGTGTTATTATGAGAAAAGTTTTTTTGTTTTGTTTTTGCATTTTTATCTTCAGATAGAGTGGGAGGGAGAGAGGGAGGAAGAGAGAAAAAGAAACATCGATGTGAAAAAAACAAGTGGCTGCCACCCACACGACCCCAACCAGGGCCGGGGACAAACTGCAACCGAAGTACATGCCCTTAGCGGGAACCGAACCTGAGACTCTCTGGTCCCTGGGCCGACGCTCTAACCACTGAGCGCCCAGCCAGGGCATGAGACAAGTTTTGATCATGAGGCCCTTCTGAGAAGGGCCTGGGGATCCTGGGCCACGTGTAAAGGGCAGCCACGATACCCCGTAGAGTGTGTGGTGCCATTTCCCAGCGTGTGCTCCCTAATTTCAAGGAGGAGCTTGATGATGTAGTAACTAATGTGCGCGTGGTACCTTGTGGTTATCAAACCCTTTCATGTGGTAAGGGTGCCAAGAAGCCCAGTAAAATTTGAATTGCAAATAAGCAACAAATAATTTTAAAATTAATATACAGGGCATGGGGCATACTTATACTAAAAACTATTTATTTCTCTGAAATTCAACGTAAATGGCCTTCCTATGCTCTTGTGTGCTAAATCTGGAACCCCTGCTGGATGGGCCTTCCCGTGGATATTGTTTTATAGAGGGGAAGACTGGGAAGCACAGACAGGTTCACCCTTCTGTCCGAGATGTCATGGAGGAAGGGGGTGGAGCAGGGTCTCACCGTCGGGCTTCTGACCGTTCCCCCTGGTCTTTCTGTGAGCACCGTGTATGTCCAGTCACCTGAGCCACATGTAGGACCCAGTCCCTGTGGGCTCTGAAATCCCCACTCACTACCGAAATGCAAACGTCTAAGGAAAATGAGTATACACCCTTAACTTTTATCTGCATCCCACACTAATGTTATCAATGGATGTGTATTTCTACACACATACAGTAAAATTATCTATAAGATATACTTACTCATACTATACTTATTTACAGCATACTTATTGGCGAGATTATTTAACATTAGGGAGGTTTTTTTAAAAGTCTAAATTACATAAATAATTTAGCTCAAAGAAGTACCTGAATGATATTCAGTGAAATCCCACCCAATTCTCCTGAGGGAAACGGCCTCTGGGAATACCTTCACCTGCTATAATTCGTTCTGACTCCAGATCACACAGTCATTGCAAAGGTCACAAATACACCTCTGCTCTGTCTCAGCGAGACCCAGGGGACATACAATATTCACTGGAAATTCTAGATCTCCTTGGTTTGTTCTATTCCAAGAATAATTCTGTATTCCGTGTCCTTTTTAAGTTGTGACACAGAAAGTCTGCTCTTACACAGAACAGAGTAAGGCACGTTGTGGATGATGGAGTGTGTAGGTGTTTAAGTGATGGGAACACTGTGGTGATATTGTCTGAGAGAGCCCCGAACTTGACACTAGAGCCCTGGGATCAGTTCCTGGATCTTTTCTATGACACTGGGTTGAGCACCCTCTCAAGATTGATTTGTTCATTTGTAAAACAGGGATGATGACCGTGTTCTGGCTCATTGTTTGAATTAGATTAAACTGAGTGCCTTTGAAAGCACCTCTCGAGGGGTTGGGACATAGTATGGGAGTTTATGGGGAAACCTACCTGCACCCTGATTTTCCAAGGGAGTGAAGAGAGACTCTAGCAGGGGTATTTAGTCTCACAGCTCCAACTCTTTCTTGTTCCCTAACTTACTATCCACCCCATGTTGCTCTCTGTAACCCCTTGGGGAAGGCTCACTGCAAACTGAAGCCAAGAAGTTTGTTTAACAAGACCGGCACAGTTTGGAAGTGGCTAAGGGATTTGGCAAGGAGTAACGAAGACAGAATTCCTTGATAGGAAGCTCTCAGAGGCCGCCACCCCTGCCCTTTCCTGGGGTCCCTTTACAGAGTCTAGGAGTCCTCAGGATCACCCTCAGAACCACTGAATTGCTGGAGAGACTCACAGAACTCACTGAAAGCTGTGATAGTCATGGTCACAATTTCTCACAAGAGGAAACAGATTGAAATCAGCCAGGGCAAGAGATACGGCACAGAGTCAAGGAAAGGTCAATGCATGAAACTTCCATTTGTCCTGTCCCAGTGGAACCCGGAAAGTGCTAACTGTTTCTGGCAGCAATGCATGGCAATACTTTCTGTGTATTTTATCTGGATGCCCAGAGAGCTCGCCTCAGCCTTGGTGTCCAGGGTTTTTATGGGGGCTTGGTCACCTTGTAGACTTGGTTCACTGCCGATGTGGTTGACCTTTAGTCTCTAGCCCATCAGGAGGTTGAGCTGATACCAAGTGGCCCAACCCCCTCCCTAAATTACTTTGTTAGACTATCCATTGTAGCCTTAGGCTCCCAGGTAAACAAAACACTCCTACTGGGCAGGACATTCCAAGGACTCAAGAGATCACCTCCCAGGATCCAAGGGCAAAGGCCAGCCCTCTCTTTGGTAAGGCTAATTCTTCACTGCACATCCTTTCTAGACTTTGTAACCCAGAGCCAAGAAAGTGTGCCTGAAAGAGGAAAACATTCCCATTTCCTGTCTTACGAGAATTGATATTAGACCTCCCCTCTCCCCTCTGGGATTCCCCTCTTTCTCCACAAATGTGTGCCTCTATAGGACATCGCCCTTGATTTGAACATCACATGCACAGTGGTAGGGCATTTGCATACTTACTTACATGTTCATCACAAGTCATTATTTACTCTGTTTTTAACCTAAGCCATAACGTTCCCTTCAAAGATAATTAGTAAGGCCTCGGAACGCTTACAGATAGACTGAAGCTGGGACACAGTGTTACAGTAATTGAAACGCCATTCATTTATATGGCGCCTCGGAGTTTACCAAGCCTGTGCTCCATTTCACTTAATGATCACCACAGCCCCGTAAGGCTTGGGAGGCAGATTTTGTTCTCCTCGTTTAGAGGTAAGGAACTTGACACTTAGAGAGTTGAACATCTTGCCCAAAGTCATGTGGCTAACAAGTGATGAAACTTAAGTCCTTCACCTCAGTTCTGTTCCTGTGTGTGTCCTTTCCACTGTGCACTGATTCGTCTGTGCCTCCGTCTCTGCCCTGTGTGACCCACCTTGCCCAAGTCGCTGTGAATGAGCAGGAGAATGATCAAAAAGATGTCTGTGTGTTTTTAGTTCTAAGCGCTGGGGCAAGCGGGCACGAGAGATCGGGTGTAAAGGATTGAAAAGCAGCAGCCTGGGTGGTCTCCTCCGGTGGGAAGGAAGTGGGTGCCCCAACCAATAGGTGCCTCCACGACCTTGGAATATTGGATGGGCTTTCTCTTGCTTTCAGTTCTCACTGTTGTTTTTTTTTTTTTTTCTTCCTTTATCACAGGTGCTTTTGGACTTGACAGAAGTTATATGGGAAAATCCTTGAAAGGTATGGTGAGGACTTGAGGAAGAAATACATTGATTAAAATCACATTTAACAAAGTGTATCTCAGAGACTGAAATAATCTGCTACATAAACACGAGTGGCGACGTGGAAAAAAATGTAAACTTGTTAGTGTGGTCACTCCAACAAACATGTTTGCCTGACATCAAGACAGGGGCCGTAGGTGCATCTGGTTAGCGCAGAAGTGGGGAACAAAGGGGTCACTTTGCTGGGGAAACACTCATACTTCCTTCAAAAGAAATATGGCTTATGGGGGAGGAGAGGAAATGCAGGGAAAACAGGCAGAGATCGGCAGAGCTGCATGTTCACTGAGGCCTGCTCTTCAGGCAGATTTGGGTAGTAACTTCGGGTGCTCGGTACTGAGGTTTTACAAGGAACCCTGACAGCACCCGCCTTGCTCGCCATAGTAACAGAGCCTCGCTGTGCACCTGGGTCTGTTAACAGATGGTTTCTTGATTGAAGCTTTGAGAAGTTGGAGATGCTTAGTAAAATAGAATGGAATTAATTTTATTTGGGTGTAGATAATCTACATGAAATCGAATCCATGATATTTATATTGGTATTTGCCTTGGAGAAGAGTTAAAATTACTTTACAGTTTTTAAAATATCTTATAGTAATTTTATAGCAAATTCTCTCCAAAATAAATGAAAAACAGTATTATTATCAGTGTATGTAATTCAGACAACTAGCTACAAAGAAAAACTGCCCAGCCCTGGCTGGGTGGCTCAGTCGGTTGGAGCATGGTCCTGTACACCAAAAGGTGTCAGGTTCAATTCCCGGTCAGGGCACATGCCCAGGTTCAAGGTTCAATCCCCAGTCAGGGTGCGTGCAGGAGGCGCTCCATCAATGTTTCTCTCTCTCTCTAAAATAAAAATAAAAAAATTTTAACTGCCCAAGTAAATTATCACCAAGAAAAAAAAATAATGTTGTTCACTACACCTGAAACTAGTATAAAACAATATTGAATGTAAACTGTAACTGCAAAATGAAATTTAAAAGACTAATATTCAAGGAATAGCATTTGCTTTTTCCCACCATCTCTCTTCACAGACCTGGGAAAGAATTCTGAGTATAATTCAAGTAACTGCTCCCTGAGCAGTTCTGAAAACCCATATGCCACTATTAAAGACCCACCCATGCTGCTCCCCAGAAGCTCAGAGTGCGGCTACGTGGAGATGAAGTCACCGGCGCGCAGAGACTCCTCCTATGCAGAGATCAATAACTCAGCCTCGGCCAACAGGAATGTCTATGAAGTTGGTGAGTTCTCCTAACCAAAGAAAGAACCTCGTATGGGAATTTTTTAAAAAGCAGTTTCAAAGTCTTTGAGAAGACAATAGCATTTCGTATAAACCTTATTAAAAGTAATGGCCCATATTTTAAATGTAGGTTGTGTTTACACTGATTATATTCACTGGTGTCAAATACATTGTTGAGGGAACACCACTTAGAAAATGTAAAGGAAGTTTTCTTTATCTCCCACCCGGTCATCCATCTTTTGTTTTGTAACCATAGTGAACGTTTTTGCCTGCATGTAGAATAAAGCACATGTATTATATGAGCTAATGTGTCGACTTAGCCAAAACAAATGATTCCATTACATTAAACAGGTGGTTCCAATTCCTGGTTGCATTCATTATATTAATATAATGCTTTTAGCAGGATTGAAACATTTTACTTTTAAATTTGTCTAAAATATCAGTAAGAGTCTAAGATGTGACTCTGATACAAATTAATAAGAATTTAATTTAAAATCGGAGATATTTTAATTGCCCCTTGCAAGTATAATTTGGGAAAAATTAAAACATATCAGATTATGAAAAAATTAAAAATAAAAGCCCTGGCCGGTTTGGCTCAGCAGTTGAAGCGTTGGCCTGTGGACCAGAGAGTCCCAGATTTGGTTCCCACTAGGGGCACATACCAAAAAAAACCCAACATATCAGAGATATCAGTGGCTAGAAAATAGGGCTATCTAGTTTAATTTTTCTCTCTCTCTCTGTGTGATTTAAACTTTTTAAAACATTCTCTACTACTTGTAAATGAAGTGACTAATTTAACTCGAGTTGCTAGTAGCTCATTTTATGCTATAGACATGTCACTGAAGATATCTAACTATTTTTAAAGTATTACCATAGCTTTTTAAAATGGAAGGCATCGTGAACTAAATTGTTATAGAAAGGTCAGTGACAAGTGGCCTTGGTTGTCCCATAAGTTCACCACTGTAAGATTGGAACTCAGCTGAGAGCCCGAATCCTAACATTTTAAACTTCTGTTTCCATGACTCGAGTTAACCTCTAAGGACCTCAGTCTTCTGACCTAGGGTAAAAGGTTTGTGCTCACTTTATCCAAGATTTTTCAGACAATGATTCCTATCCAGGGTTTCTGCATATTCGCCCATGTCTTCATCCCAACCACACAGTCATCCTTTTGTTCAGACACCATCGGTGAGCATCCGCCGGTCTGCCAGCCACAGAGTAGCCACCTCTGTGGTGATAAAAGAATCCTTTGTTTGTAAAAATATTTTCTTATACTTCCACAAGAAAGCTCCTCTTGCGTGTTTGATATTTGCAAGAAATGCCATATTTGATTGATTAATTTGTTTTTCATTGCTGACGAATTAACGTGTCCTTGGTTGTCACAGAACCTACGGTGAGTGTTGTCCAAGGATTATTCAGCAATAACGGGCATCTCACCCAGGATCCATATGACCTTCCAAAGAACAGTCACATCCCTTGCCATTACGACCTGCTGCCGGTCCGAGACAGTTCATCCTCCCCGACGCGAGAGGACGGAGGCAGCAGCAGCAGCAGCAGTGACTGACACCAAAGGACCCCTCGGTAGCCCCCGGAGCCCTTTCCAGAACTGCGGTTCGGTTCTTCTCCATCCTCAAGTTTGCCACCTTAGGTGAATGTTAATCTACTTGGTAGCAATTGCTGGACACAAACCAGAAAGCTCAAAGCCGAGGCTGACTGGCCGTAGGTCCCTTTGTGCAGGTGGCTCGGAGGGAGATGACGGTGTGATTTTCCACCCTTGCTAGTGTTAGAACTGCACCCGTGAAGCATGGCTTCCTGTAAAATCCCGGCCACGAGCATGAACGTGCAGATGTCCTTCAGAGACGGGCTTGCAGTGGACATTGGTATCATTGCTTGAAAAACAGAAGTTTAAATATATTTTCTCTCTCGTTTGCATTGTAGATCTGTACCTAGGATTGTGCAGTTTACCATAAAATTTAGTGTGAATCACTAAAATGTAGAAGAAAAGGGGCATATTATTGAGTCCTGATTCTTTGGGGTGTTTTTTTTTTCAGCTGGACTCAGAATTGTAGGATAATATGAACCCAGGAGGAAACATTCTGTCAAGGGGCATAACTGGATAGACTGAACACACCCTAGAAGTGGATAGAAAATTTAAATATGAACACTTTAGGCTTTTTTTAAGAATGAAGAAATGTACACTTAGAATTATTTTAGAAATACTAGAATTATTACAGGAATCAATATGTGCCAGACAGAGGCGATTTTTCTCTCTGTTTGACCCCTGGCCCACTTTCGATCCCTGACATTGTTCTGATCACTGCCCCCCTCATACACATTCACCACCTGAGATCCATAACATATCAGTAATTATTTCATAAATATGAAAATGAAATAATTTTATTTTTGACAGACTGGATTGAATGAGTGTATAATGATTGGAAAAGGATGTAAATTTTAAGTGTAAGAAGACACTTAAGTTTTGTAAACCATTAGTAATACATGCTGTAATATAGAATTAGCAGAAAGGTTTTATTAATTTTTCCCTAGAAGTGACTGAAGTATTTTTGTGCGTATTCGAGAAAAGGGCACTTTTCTTTTGTTAATTGTTGGTTTAGAGAAAGTATGCTTAAGCTGGTCTTTTGCATTGCTAATATGATATGTACCCCATTTTTCTCTAATTTGTATTTTCATTTTGAAGTTGTATGTTTTATGTTTTGTAGTGTTTAAATTGTTAATGAAAAAAATATTATATGTTTGTTGTTTCTTGTATTGTTGCCACATCTTTTTGCTTGATGAAAAGTTGTTGTTCTTTTTTTCTTTCGGCGGGAGGAGATGAAAGTATATAAATCGAATATATTAAAATCGGTCATTACTACAACAGCACAGAAACCATAGGTGAATGACTTATTGAAATAGAGAAGCTTTTCAATGTTCCAAAATGGAGTCCCTTTGATCTGGGGGTTCAGAGTCTTGGTTAAACCAAGGGGAGAGGTGCGGAAGGCTGCTGTTACTGCGTGAGGGCCACAGACTGACCCTACAACAGGCCTTGATCAGGGTGATCATATCATCGATCATCCAAACAGGCCGCTGTTGAGAGTCAATGAGGACATTATTCGTGATTATCCTGCAAGGGTCTCTAATCCGGACTGCTCCAGGCAACCCAGAATGGTAGCTCATCCTCTGCTTACTTCCATGTGGTAACATTTCTCCCCAAGGTAGTTGATTCTTGAGGATGCCAGTGTGAGGCAAGAAGGCCAGTTTCTTTTTCTTTGACCTGCATGAGCCAGCCTAGGGGCTGGAAGGCTGAAAGAGGAAGCAGCTTCATAAGAGAAAACCGCCGTCTTCGATCTTATAAAAACACCCCGTGTGGCATCCTGGCTCAGTGAGTCAGTGAATGCATAGATACTGTGCACCTGTTCCGCTGGTAGTATACGTATGGCGCGGTCCCTGCTGGTCATCGAGTTGGGCTGTCACACACCTGCACCTGGGATGGTGGTTTGGTCAGGTAGATGATAGAACAAGCACACCTAGAGCATTCACTCTTTTGTTGGCTTTTTCTTTTAGGGAACCCCAAAATTAATTCAAGGAAATATGGACTTGCCTGGAACACACCTTAGAAACAATAGATTTGTCCCGACAGTTAACCACTGCCTGACCCCTGCTTGACAGTAGAGCGTAGGCATCTAAAGGAGGCACTTGTTAGTCAATAGCCATGAAGAGTCCTCTTTGGAGGAACAAAATGACTTTTTCCCTTTTGTTTTTTTAGGGATCACCTCTTCAGATCTCCATGGTAAGTTTGAGTTTTCCCATTACTACCTGGAGATTAAAAAAAAAAAAATTCTATTTCTTTTCTTATTCCACTACAGGAAGAGGGGAGTGAGAGAGGGAGGGAGGACTACAGCCACTTAAGTAAACACCTGGGCGCAGAAGCGGCTCCCAGCAGCACTGTGGCCCTTCCTGAGCGTCCTTTCTGCCTGTCAATTGCTCGGGATGGCTGCTGACCAGAAACAAAGGATCCTTGCTTGTCAGGGCTCACTCAGGACTTTTCAAACATCAGAACACAGCATTTTGGATGTTGTAAAACTACATGTTATATTTGGAGAGGTCTAGTTGAGAAGTCAAAAATTCTAAATATTTTGATGTAGATTTGGATAAAGAGAGAAATACTTTTGTCAGAATGAGAATTAAAGGAAAGAAAAAGGATCTGATAAGTTTTTTCCCCTAAAATTACAATCTCTAGGAAAGTTTCCAGATATATCAAATGTAATTTGATGACGATATAATTCTTCATACACAGTGAGTCTATCCTCATGGTCTTTGACCCATATTAATGTGGGACCCTGAAAATATATCTTATATCCTATAGAGGTCAAAGCAGTGAATGATCCTAATGAAACCTGGCTTAAGTCATTCATGTAGGAATGTCAGCAAAACTATTCTTTCCCTAGACGTTGATGTATCAGAAAATATTTTAACTATTTGTATTTATATAAAAGTAACTCACAACTGGCCCAAATGATAGCTCATATATTTGCTTTAATTGGAGAATATGTTATTTGTAGTTGATTATATAATAAGAAATATTTCATAATTATTTTCAATCCGTGATATAAATTCCTCTCTCATGGAAAGTTGAAAGTGCTTAGCTCCATCTCTATGAAAAATAATATTCACCAATTTTAGGAAAACGAACATAGAATTTTATAATAGGACAATTATAACCTGTTCCAACCAAATCGATGCGCACGATGACTCTGTGTTGTGAGAAATGCAGACAACTTTATGAAAATATGATCAACTTGACTCCAAAGAGCCACAGTAGTTGTCAATTATTGGGATTTTTAAACCATACATAGCGTTAAAATCTCACAAAAGTATCACAATACCATTTAGAACTCATGTTGTTCAGTGGAGAGAGTCGGCCCATGCACCAAAGGGTCGAAGGAGTTTTGATTCCTAGTCAAGGGCATGTACCTGGGTTGCAGGTTGGATCCCTGGTCCTAGTTAGGGCGCTTGCAGGAAGCGACCAATCAATGTCTCTCTTACACTGATGTTTCTCTCTCTCTCTCTCTCTTCCGCCCCCCCCCCCCCCCCCCGCGCCTTCATTCCTCCCTTCCACTCTCTCTAAAATCAATGGAAAAAATATCCTGGGATGAGGATGAACAAAAAACAAATAACTGTATTTTGATTACTTCATAAGAATAGTCTTATTCTTTGAAATAGTGCTTTCAAAACATTAAGTGATGCTGCATAAATTTATTATTAAACCCAACATGATACAGTCATTTAATATCCACAGACTAATAATCTATAAGTATTAGGTACAACATAGACATATTTAAAAACCAGACACATTTTATTACCATTTTAAATATACTGTCTAGGAAACTGACAGTAAAGACTTAGATAAATAAGTTTTTTTCCTTAGTCATTAAAAACTTTTCCTTAAAAGCTTTTTCTGTAAATGTAAAAACTATTTCATGCCTTATAGCAGGCAACTAGTATCTTTAATCTTGAGATATCTTTAAATAGAGATTCAGCTTCACTCAAGATCAACCGATTACTTCCCAAAGTCCCTGCAGGGTGAATCCATCCTTCAATTTCTCTGGTACAAGCCCCAGTTCTTCTGCAAATACAGGTGCACAATCGTGTTGCTTATTGCCGGCAATAAAATAAGCCACAGAAGCGTCCGGGTGATCCTCAGAATCTATTTCTACGTCATCTTGAATTTGTTCAACTTTCAGAGCTTCAAGGGGCTGTGGTTGCTCTTTCATCTCAGTATCCACTCCGATTTTAGGACTGGCAGGATGGACTTTGTGAAGTGAATTGATTTCTTTAACTGATGCTTGTAGTTTTCCCACAGTATCTATTTTCAAAGCCAAGAACCTAGCCTCCACTCTGCTGAGAGATTTCAACGACAAGAGCTAAACCATATTTTGAATCTCTGATCTTCATTGGACGGACTTGCAGATACGGTGTACTAACGTTAAAACTATCCATATCTGCATGCCACACAAGGCTCACATTGGTAATAAAAAGGTTCCTAAGTTTCTCTGATCACCGGATAAATTCCATACTCCACTGATGTTCTTGTGGTAATCATCTTAGTTGCTTATTTTGTCCTTTTTTTTTTTATCGTCACCTGAGGACATTTTTGCATTTATCTTCAGTTAGAGCTGGAGGGAGAGAGGGAAGAAGAAGGAGAGAGAGAGAGATACCAATGTGAGAGAGACACATCGAGTGGTTGGCACCTGCACGACCCCAACCAGGGCCGGAGACAAACTACAACTGAGGTACGTGCCCTTAGTGGGAACTGAACTCGGACTCTCTGGTCGGTGGGCCAACGTTCTAACCACTGAGAAAACTGGCCAGGGCTTAGTTGCTTATTTTGAATTAGTACACTTCTCAGTTTAAAACCACTCCCAGCCAGTGTGGCTCAGTTGTTGAGCATTGACCCAGGCACCAAGAGGTTGCCGTTCAATTCCCAGTCAGGGCACGTGCCCAGGTTGTGGGCCTGATCCCCAGTGGGAAGCATGCAGGAGGCGGCCAACTGATGTTTCTCTCTTTCTCCCTCTCCCTTCCTCTCGCTTTAAAAATCAATAAAGGAAAAGATTTTTTTGTTAAAATCGTGATACATTTTAGAAGTTCCACATGCTCTGTGGACTGCAATCACAGAAGTAAAAAGCTAGAACTTCCAAGAAGCAAATTTGTAGATCTAAACTAAAAATGAGTACTGTTACATTGTATTAGTATTTAAAGAGCTTCAGTCTGGCCTCACAATTTAGAGTTAGCAGTCCTTGTTGTAATAGTCGATACGCAGTCATAACCGACAGAAAGAGCGAGTCTGGGTAATGCCAAAGAGGACAGAGAGTTCTTAATTTGTTACTAAGAGTCTACTCTCCCCCCATTATTTCCTTTGGTGTCTTCAACTGAATTTAAACTTCTCCAGGCCTGGTTTTTCTTTGTTGGGAGGACAGGTCACCGACTCCCTGGTCCACCCACAGCATGCCCAGCACCACATGGTGACTGAGGCCTGGGTAGGCCCTCTCCACAGTGGTGGAGCTAAGGTTACATTTTATAAAATAACAACTTTTCTATCTCTGGGTACTGTCTTTATTATTCAAAACACATGTCTAAGAGATATTTTGGTTTTCCAGGCTTTATGTCATGAAAGTGTACATAGATATGTAAATGTGAATCGCATGGTGTGGATGGGTACTTGTTTTTCACGGAAGATGTATGGCAACTTCCCTTTTAGGGTCTTTTAAAATTGTGTCCAGCCCTGGACAGTTTGGCTCAGAGGTTAGAGCGTCGGCCTGCAGACCAGAGAGTCCCAGGTTCAGTTCCCACTAAGGGCACGTACCTCAGTTGCAGTTTGTCCCAGGCCCCGGTTGGGGTCATGTGGGTGGCGACCAGTCGATGTGTCTCTCTCACACCAATGTTTCTCTCTCTCCCCCCCCCTCACTCCTGCTGTATCTGAAGATAAATAAAATTGTGTCCAAACACTGGTTCTTTTTATTCTAATTTAGTATTTGGACCAGGCTTCATATTAATATGACCAAATTGCAATATATATTTTTAAAAGGAAAAAAAATACATTAAGTTTTATTGATTGTAGCAAACAAAAATGAAAATGCTTTCAGTGTTAAAATGTCTCTTTTCCAAAGATGATAAATTTTCATCAGTATTTGCCTGCATCATCATTTATATCATCAAAG